CTCTTTGTTGCAGAAGGTTTGGGAAGCACAGGCGGCCAAGTGGTGGGCGCCGCCTTCGGATTCTTGCCCCGATTGCTCCGAGCCCGAGCATTTGGGAGATCTGTCCAACGGGGACGCTCAAACTTGGCCGCGTGCAATTCAACAGCGAGATCAGCATTCCATTCGTCGAGGAGCATTTGGGAGAGGATGGCAAGCCGTGGAAGCCGACGACGAAAACCTACTTGCACATGCGCACGATGCACAAGCAGAAGTTCGGCCCCGTGGAGTCGCCGAAGAAGCGGGCGGAGCTCAAGAACGATTTATCCATGAACGGTTGCCAGTGCAAGTTGTTCTACGACAGCGAGCCCATTGGCTACAGCGTCTTCTCGATGCTCGGCGATCAATCCAGCCAACCTGATGTGTACACATGGCGCAGTCGGTTCGGATACGCCGTATTCGGTCACACAAATTTGGGCTACTGCCCAGAGGAAGCCCTTGGCCTACTGGACTGACACTCTACTGGCCTAAAGGAAGCCCGCGGCGATCTCAGGGCGCGGTCCGCGCGGGTTGGCAGCGCGATTCACGCGGCGCTAACGTCGCAAGAAACTTGATCGACCCACGAACCCGGAAAGGAATACAGAAACGTAAGGCATTGCAACATTTCAAAAGCCACCTGATTGGGCGACGGGCACATGCAAAGCTGAATGCATCGATGATGATGTACTGTGCCGAGGGCTGTGCTGTGCTACGCCGTGCTGAACTGCGATGTGCCATGCCGTGATTGTGCTCTATATATAGCGTTGTGGATCGAATCCTCCCTGGCATCCGAGTCCTGACCGAACTGATCTGGATCTTAAGCTCGAGCTGCCTGAGCAGATGGTAGCTGTCCCAGAACTAATCGACAGGGGGACATGCCAGGAGGACGCGCCGCGGAACGCCCCGAGGGACGCGCCAGGCGATGTGCCAGGGGACGTGCCATGGGGACGCACCGCGGGACGTGCCAAGGGGACGCGCTACGGAACGTGCCAGTGGACGTGCACCGCGCGATGTGCCAGGGGGACTCGCCAAGGGATGCTCCGCGGAACGTGCCAAGCAACATGCCAGGCTGCAATGATAAGGGCATCGATATTAATGTACCGTGCCGAGGGCTGTGCTGTGCCTGGGCGACCTGGACACGTGAAAACACGCGTTTCGCTCAAGACGTTCTCAGCACATCCTCATGCTAGACATCCGCCTGGGCAACCTGGACACGTGCAAACAAGCGTCTCGATCGAGACTTCCTCGATACATCCTCATGCTAGACATCCGCCTGGGCGACCTGGACACGTGAAAACAAGCCTGTGGTTCGAGACATCCTCCACAAATCCTCATGCTAGACATCTGTCTGCGAAACCTGGAGGCGTGAAACCAAGCGTCTCGCTCAAGACATCCTCAAGACCTGGGCACGTGAAAATAAGCATTTCACTTGAGAGATTCTCAGAATTCGGGTCCCCAGGAGAGGACAATCTATAACACAAAACAAGCGGTTCGCTCGAGACATCCTCAACAGATCCTGAAACAAGCGTCTCGCTAGGGATATCCTCAAATTTTAATTCGCCGGCCCACTTCCGACTCGTTATTTATCGTAAAAGAAATCCGCCGGCCCTCTTCCCGTCAGACCCGGGGGTAAACAGCTAAGAAAGAACCCTGGGCCTACGCCCTTTCCAGGAAAAACAAGCGCTTCGCTCGAGACATCTCAATATTCTAATTCGCGGGCCCTACGCGATCTTTTTATGTATCGCAAAATAATTTCGACGGCCCTACAGCCGTCAGAACCGGGGGTAAACACACTAAAAGAGAACCCTGGGCCCCAGACCTTTCCGGCAAAAACAAACGAATTAATCGAGACATCCTCGAAATTCCTGCGCGCGGGACGCGGCACGCGCGAGGTATCCTCGGAATTCCTGCACGCGGGACGCTTTTTCGCGTCGCGGTCGGGGCTGCAGAGCTCGGTTTTTGTTTCTATGATTCTGCTAAAAATGCCCCGCACCCTCTTTTTAACACAGGAAAACGGTGGTCCGCGGACCCCGTTATTTATCGACGATCCGAAGTGGGGGGCTCACTTTCCTCGAGCGGGCACGCGCGAAACGCATTTGTTTCACGCCGAAATGGACTTTACCTTGTTTTTTATTGAGCGGAAATCCGCCGGCCTCCTTCAAGTCAAAACTGAGGGTAAACACACTAAAAGAGAACCCTGGGCCCACGCCCTGTCCGGGAACTAAAAGAGAACCCTGGGCCCACGCCTTGTCCGGGAACATGATCGATCCACGAACCCGGAAAGGAATATAGAACTGTAACACATGGCAGCGTTTTCAAAGACACCTGATTGGGTGACGGGCAAATGCAATGCCGAGTGTATCGATCTTGATGTACCGTGCCGAGGGCTGTGCTGTGCTGCGCCGTGCTGAACTGCGATGTGCCATGGCGCGGTTGTGCTCGATAGCCTCGTGAATCGAGTCCTCCTTTGCATCCGAGTCCTGACCGAACTGATCTGGATCTTAAGCTCGAGCTGCCTGAACACATAGTAGCTGCCCCAGAGCTAATGGACAGGGGGACATGCCAGGAGGACGCGCCGCGAAACGTCCCAAGGGATGCGCCAGGCGACGTGCCAGGGGACGTGCCATGGGGTCGCACCGCGGGACGTGCCAAGGGGACGCGCTACGGAACGTGCCAATGGATGTGCCACGGGATGTGCCAGGGGACGCGCCACGCGACGTGCCAGGGGGACTCGCCAAGGGACGCCCCACGGAACGTGCCAAGGAGCGTGCCAAGTTGCAATGCTGAGTGTATCGATCTTGATGTACCGTGCCGAGGGCTGTGCTGTGCTGCACCGTGCTGAATTGCGATGTGCCATGGCGCGTTTGTGCTCTATAGCCTCGTGGATCGAGTCCTCCTTTACATCCGAGTCCTGACCGAACTGATCTGGATCTCAAGCTCGAGCTGCCCGAACACATAGTAGCTGCCCCAAAGCTAATGGACAGGGGACCATGCCAGGAGGACGCGACGCGGAACGTCTCAAGGGACGCGCCAAGCGACGTGCCAATGGACGTGCCATGGGAACGCACCGCGGGACGTGCCAAGGGGACGCGCTACGGAACGTGCCAATGGATGTGCCACGGGATGTGCCAGGGGACGCGCCACGCGACGTGCCAGGGGGACTCGCCAAGGAACGCCCCACGGAACGTGCCAAGCGAGCGTGACGTGAATCCTCGGAATTCCTGCGAGCGGGACGTGAAAACAAGCATTTCGCCTGAGACATCCTCTGAATTCTGGCCACCCACGAGCCCCCCGCTCGAGACATCCTCCAATGTTGCAAAGCTAGCGTTTCGCTCGAGACATCCTCAACAAATTCTGAAAAAAAAACAAGCGTTTCGCTTGAGACATCCTGTCAAAATCCCAAGAAATCCTCGTCAAACAAGCGAATTAGTCGAGACATCCTGGAAATTCCTGCACGCGGGACGCGGCACGCGCGAGACATCCTCGGAATTCCTGCGAGCGGGACGTGAAAACAAGCATTTCGCCTGAGACATCCTCTGAATTCTGGCACCCCACGAGGCCCCCGCTCGAGACATCCCCCCAACTTTGCAAAACCAGCGTTTCGCTCGAGACACCCTCAACAAATTATACAATTACACTACACCCGCGCTCCCAGGGCCACGATCCCTCGTAAATTACGCTACGTCAGCGCTCCCAGGGCCACGATCCCTCGTAAGGGCTCCTGGGCCCTCCTGGGTCTTCCTTGGACCTCTTGGGCCCTCCTGGGCTCTCCTGGAGCCTCCTGGAGCTTCTCCTGGGCCCTCCTTGGGCCCCCTGGTGCCTCTTGGAGCCTCCTGGGTCCTCCTGGGCCCTCCTGGGCTCTCCTGGGCCCTCCTGGGCTCTCCTGGGCTCTCCTGGAGCCTCCTGGGCCCTCCTGGGCGAAGTCAAGGTCCGAAAACACATGGGACTTGCCACATTTCTGAAATTCGGTGCCACCCCTCACGCAGGTCGGCGGGGTCAGGATCCGAAAACATATGGGGATGTGCCACATTTCTGGAATTCCGTGCCACCCCTCACGCAGATCGGCGGGGTCAGGGTCCAAAAACACAAGGGATTTGCCACATTTCTGGAATTCCGCGCCACCCCTCACGCAGATCGGCGGGGTCAGGGTCCAAAAACACACGGGATTTGACACATTTCTGGTATTCCGTGCCACACCTCACGCAGATCGGCGGGGTCAGGGTCAAAAAACACACAGGGATTTCTGCTATTTCCGAACTTATGCAACTTCAAGAATCCAAAACTCCGTTCCCAGCGCCGTTCCGGAGGCCGCGGTACCTCGTTATTTATCGAGCGAACGCGTTTACCTCGTTTTTTTTTATATTTTAAAGTCGATGTCGGAAAAAAGTGGACTTCACCTGTGAAATATCAAGGTTTCCTTAAAGGCAGTAAAATTCCAAGAGCACGATCTGCGTGAGGGGTGGCGAAAAATGGCCTTCGTCCTCACAATTGAAATCCGCCGGCCCCCTTCGACCTCGGAATTTATAGCACAAGAATTCCGCCGGCCCCCTTCAAGTCGAAACCGGGGGGTAAACCTACTAAAAGAGAACCCTGGGCCCAGGCCCTTTCCGGGAAAAAACACGTGGTGCAAGCTCGGGACAATCATGTTAGATACCCCCTGGGTAGCCTGGACACGTAAACACACGTGGGACCAGCTCTGGGCAACCATGTTAGATACACCCCTGGGTGGCCTGGACACGTGAAAACACATGATCCTTGCCCGGGACAACTATGTTAGATATCCCCCTGGGTGGCCTGCACACGTAAAAACACGTGGTGCCAGCTCGGGACAATCATGTTAGATACCACCCTGGGCGGCCTGGACATGTAAAAACACACGGTTCAAGCTCGGGACAAACATGCTAGGCATTCTCCTGGGTGGCCTGAACACGTAAACGCACGTGGGACCAGCTCCGGGCAACCACGTTGGATACACCCCCGGGTGCCTCATCGCCGTCCGACCCGTGCACGGACGCCTGGACGAGGTGCAGCTCGGCGGCCACCACGAAGGCGAGCGCGGAGGCCTGGGAGGACGCCGACCCTGCACCCGCACCGATCCTGGCCCGGGCCCGTCCTGGGCTCGAGGAGGCTCGAGGAGCAGTGCGTACACGCCCGTGGGGCTCGGGGCCAGGAAGAGGCGCGCGCACCGATCCCGGGGCCCAGGGCCGGCCTGGCCAGGCATCGGGGTGGGCGCGTCTAGCTGGTGCCCTCCGAGGTGCCGTCAGGAAGAGCAGCTGGCACGCCATCGCCGAATCGACGGTGGCCTGGAAGTGTAAGAGCGCGTCTTGATGTGCAGTAGATGTGGTGATATGGCTAGATGCGATCACCTGGGCACACGTGGCCACGGAGCGGAGGAGAGGGGGCTGGGCTCGCCCTGAGCTGCGCTTTCCCCCACATGCTCTGTACGTCGGGCATCCCGGAGATCTGGGCGCTGCGATGTTTTCGTGCTGGGCGTGTTCGCGGTGTTTCGGGCCCCAAGACCCCCCACGCTGAAGGGGCCCTGGGACACACAAATAAATGCACACAAATAAAATGCTTCCCCATATTTTCCCATATCTTCTGGCTTTTTGTCTTCCCGCCCACTTCCCATATTTTCCCCTGTTTTCTGGGGGATCGAGGATGAATTGTGTCTGTGTCTTTTTTCCTCTCCTGACACACCTCGACCTGGCTCGATAAACTGCGGCAGGCAGACGGGTGCAGGGCCCGTCGGCCCCAGCTCGAAAACGGCGCAGCAGGATGGGGGCCAGGGGCTCCGTCGGCGGCGAGCCAGGGGGGGAGGAAGCGAGAGGGAGGCCTTCTCAGACCGCAGCGGAGGAGGAGGACAGGAGGATGGGGGTGGGATGAGGAAAGAGGAGGAGGAGGAGGAGGAGGAGGAGGAGGCGGAGGAGGAGGAGGGAGTAGAGGAAGTGGAGGAGGAGAGGAGGAGGAGGAGGACGGAGGAGGAGGGCTTCTCAGAAGCCTCCCAGCCTTCTGAAAACCCTCTCTGCGTCCTCGTGGAAGGCTTGGGCTGATGAGAAGACCCCAGCCCTCCCGAGCCTTCTGAGGAGGCCCGCCCCGTCTGGCTTCCCTCCTGGGCTCGCCGCCAACTCCAGCGGCGATTCTTCGCGATGTTGGCATGTTCCCCGCAACGTTGGATCTCCCATGGCGGGGGACCTCCGAGGGCTGGCAGGCCTGGAGGACGTGCCGGGCGCTGCGGCCGCTCGCAGAGCACCCTGGGACGCTCGTCTCAGATCACGAACATGCTCGCGTTCTGAAGAAATCGCGCACGGAGGTTTTTCCGCAGTTCTTGGCGGGCGCCCGGGCCGTCAAGGGAAGGCTCGGGAGAAGCAGCCTGTCCCGGTGAAAGGGTCGGGACCTCCGCAGGCCGCGCATTGAAACACTTGATCGACTCACGAGCCCAGGAAGGGATTGAGAACTGTGAGGCCCAGATGGGACCGGGGCCAGGATTTCTGGGGCGGGTTGTTTGATTACAGGGACCCCAGATCGGGACAGAATTGTGGCAGGGAGCCAGGGCCAGGATTTCCAGCGCGGATTGTTGTTTGTTTCAGAGGGCACGAGATCGGAACAGAATTGTGTCACGGGACTGGGGCCAGAACTTCTGGAGCGGGTAGTTGTTGTTTGATTGAAAGGGACCCCAGATCGGGACAGAATTGTGTCAGGGAACCTGGGCCAGGATTTCTCGGGCGGGCTGTTGTTTGTTCAGTGGACACGAGATCGGGACAGAATTGTGTCAGGGGACCGGGGCCAGGATTTCTGGGGCGGCTTGTTGTTTGATAGAAGGGACCCCAGATCGGGCCAGAATTGTGGCAGGGAACCAGGGCCAGGATTTCCAGGGCGGGTTCTTGTTTGCTTACAAGGATCCCAGATCGGGACCCCAGATCGGGACAGAATTGTGTCACGGGACCGGGGCCAGGATTTCCAGGGCGGGCAACTATTTGTTGAAGAGAAACCCAGACTGGGACAGAATTGTGCCAGGGGGCCGGGGCCAGGATTTCTGGGGCGTGTTGTTGTTTTTTCAAGAAGACCCCACATCGGGACAGAATTCTGTCGCCGGACTTGGGCCCGGATTTCTGGGGCGGGTTGTTGTTTGATTAAGAGGACACCAGATCGGGGCAGAATTGAATCGGGGGACTGGGGCGCCAGGATTTCCGGGGCGGTTTGTTGTTTGAGTCCCAGATAAGGACAGAATTGTGTCAGGGACCTGGGCCAGGATTTCCGGGGCGGGTTGTTGCGGGTTGTTGTTTGTTAATATTAAAATGGGCACCAGGTCGGGACAGAATTGAGCCACGGGACCGAGGCCAGGACTTCTGGGGCGGGTTATTGTTTTTCAGAGGACCCCAGATCGGGACAGAATTGTGTCAGGGGACCGGGGCCAGGATTTCCGGGACGGGTTGTTTCAAAAAGACCCCAAATCGGGACAGAATTGTGTCACCGGACCAGGGTCAGGATTTCTGGGGCGGGATGTTGTTTGATTCAAGGGACCCCAGATCGGGACAGAATTGCGTCAGGGAGCCAGGGCCAGGATTTGCAGGGCAGATTGTTGTTTGTTTCAGAGGACACGACATCGGGACAGAATTGTGTCACGGGACTGGGGCCAGGACTTCTGGGGCGGGTCGTTGTTTGATTGAAAGGGACCCCAGATCGGGACAGAATTGTGTCAGGGAGCCGGGGCCAGGATTTCCAGGGCGGGTGTTTAAGAGGACACCAGATCGGGACAGAATTGTTTCACGGGACCGCGGCCAAGATTTCTGGGACGGGTTGTTGCTTGATTAAAAGGACCCCACATACGGACAAAATTGTAGCGGTGAAAGGGGGCCAGGATTTCCGGGGCGGTTCGTTGATTTTTCAAGAAGACACGAAATCGGGACAGAATTGTGTCAGGACCGGGGCCAGGATTTCTGAGGCGGTATGTTGTTTGATTCAAGGGACTCCGAATCGGGACAGAACTGTGTGAGGGGACCCGGGCAAGGATTTCCAGGGCGGGCTGTTGTTTTCTTACGAGGACACCAGATCGGGACATCATTGTGTCACGGGAGCTGGGGCCAGGATTTCCGGGGCGGTTTGTTGTTTGATTCAAAGGGACCCCAGATCGGGACAGATTTGTGTCAGGGGACCGGGGCCAGGATTTCTGGGGCGGGTTGTTGTTTGTATAAAAAAACCAGATCGGGACAGAATTGTGCCATGGGACCGGGACCCCGATATCCAGGGCGAGTTGTTGTTTGGATCCCAAATCGGGACAGAACTGTGTCACGGGACTGGAGCGGGTTGCTATTTTCTTACAGGGACCCCAGATCGGGACAGAATTGTGTCAGGGGGCGGGGGCCAGGACTTCCAGAGAGGTTGCTGTTTGTTTAAGAAGACACCTGATCGGGACAAAATTGTGTCAGGGACCCGGGACCAGATTTGCGGGGCGTGTTGTTTTTTGTTTAAAGGGACCCCAGATCGGGACAGAATTGCGTCAGGGGACTCAGGCCAGGATTTCCGGGGCGGGTTGTTGTTTGATTAAAACGACCCCAGATACGGACAAAATTGCGTCGGGGAGCTGGGGCCAGGATTTCCGGGGCGATGCAGTTTGATGAAAAGGAACCCACATCGGGACGGAACTGTGTCAGGGGACCAAGGCCAGGATTTCCGGGGCGGTTCGTTGATCGTCACCAAATCGGGACAGAGTTGTGTCAGTAGAACCAGGCCAGGATTTCTGGGGCGGGATGTAGTTTGTTTAATAAGACCCCAGATCGGGACACAATTGTGTCACGGAGCCAGGGCCCGGATTTCTGGGGCGGGTTCTTGTTTTTTAAAGAGGACACAAGATCGGGACAGAATTGTGTTACGGGATCGGGGCCAAGATTTCCGGGACGGGTTGCTGCTTGATTAAAAAGGACCCCAGATACTGACAGAACTCCAACGGGGAGCTGGGGCCAGAATTTCTGGGGCGGTTCGTTGTTTGTTTAAGAGGACACCAGATCGGAACAGAATTGTGTCAGGGGACTGGGGCCAGGATTTCTGGGGCGGGTTGTTGTTTGATTCAAGGGACTCCAGATCGGGACCCTAGTGTCAGGCGACTGAGACCAAAAATTTCCAGGGCGGGTTGTTGCTTGATTGAAGGGACCCCAGATCAGGACAGAATTGTGGCACGGGACCGGGGCCAAGACTTCTGGGGCGGGCTGTTGTTTGTTGGAGAGGACACCAGATTGGGGCAGAATTGTGTCAGAGGACCCGGGCCAGGATAACTGGGGCGGGTTGTTGTTTGTGTAATAAGACCCCAGATCGGGACGGAATTGTGTCACGGGGCTGGGGCCCGGATTTGGGGGGCGGTTTGTTATTGGATTAAAATTACCCCAGATCGGGAGAGGATTGTGTCACGGGGCTGGGGCCCGGATTTCTGAAGCGAGATGTTCTCTGATTAAAGGGACCCCAGATCGGGACAGAATTGTGACAGGGGACTGGGGCCAGGATTTCCAGGGCGGATTACCAGGGCGGATTACTCTTTGATAAAAGAAACCCCAAATCGGGACAGAATTGTGTCACGGGACCGGGGCCAGGATTTCCGGGGCGGGTTGTTGTTTGATTAACATGATCGACCCACGAACCCGGAAAGGAATATAGACATGTAACGCATGGCAACGTTTTCAAAGACACCTGATTGGGTGACGGGCAAGTGCAATGCTGATTGTATCGATCTTGATGTACCGTGCCGAGGACTGTGCTGTGCTGCACCGTGCTGAACTGCGATGTGCCATGCCGCGGTTGTGCTCTATTGCGTCGTGGATCGAGTCTTCCTTTGCATCCGAGTCCTGGCCGGACTGATCTGGATCTTAAGCTCGAGCTGCCTGAACACATAGTATCTGCCGCAGAGCTAATTAACGGGGGGACATGCCAGGAGGACGCGCCGCGAAACGTCCCAAAGGACGCGCCAGGCGACGTGCCAGGGGACGTGCCCTGGGGTCGCACCGTAGGACGTGCCAAGGGGACGCGCTACGGAACGTGCTGGGGACAAGCGTTTCGCTCGAGACATCCTGTCAAAATCCTTATTCTAGACATCCGCCTGAGCGACCTGGACACGTGAAAACAAACGTTTCGCTCAACACATCCTCAACACATTCTCATGCTAGACATCCGCCTGGGCGAACTGGACACGTGAAAACAAGTATAGTTCGCTCGAGACATCCTCAACACATCTTCATGTGCGACGTCCGCTGGGTGACCTGGGCACGTGAAAACAAGCGTTTCGCTCGAGACGTTTTCAATACCTCCTCATTCTAGACATCCGCCTTGGCGACCTGTACACGTAAAAGCAAACGTCTCGCTCGAGACATCCTGAACACATCTTCATGTTAGACATCCGCCTGGGCGACCTGGACACGTGAAACCAAGCGTCTCGCTCG